GATATGCATGCAATATGTTTTTAACACATGAATGGTTAATGAAGCAGATAACTTTGCCATCACCAATGCTCTTAACCTCTTGTCTGTAATTCAACATTTAACGATGTTCGACATAAAATTCCCTGTTCGAATAACACAATTTCAATCAGAGGAAGATTGACTAAACTGTACGGGACTATGACGAAGTACAAAAGTGCAAAAAGATCCGTAATTACTCTGAATGATAGACACTTGTGTACTAAAAATTGTTCAATATTCCCCGTCTCACTGACACTATTTTCGAATAATAACGACATTTGGTTGATTCTGATTGGACTGAATCTGTTTAAATCAAAAACTAAGTGTTCATTTAACACTTGAACGTCGAGAGAGTTTTCAGAGTTCAAGTTGCCACGCTCTATATAGTGCAAAAAAATAGCGACTCAAAGGAACTGTAACGAACAGAAGTGATTACATGGAGAATAACGAGAACTTGATGGATCTAAGAGTCCATAAAGCATGGGTACACCTGTACCAATGAATTCAATTTTCAGCTCTGTCACCAACGACCCCCAGCTATTCGTTCTTAGCATCTCGAAGACCCAGTCTAGATCTCTCTTTATGGCTTAGAGCGACAATTTAAGACTTCATGTACTGATGTTGAGTTTTGATTTAACCTTGTTCTGACTCTTATCCAATCTAATCATGTGCCAGATAAATACTCGAGAGGAAGATGAAGGCTGGGTATGTGTAACACGTGTCGAGACATAGACGACTTTGACTTGTTAGAGATGTACGCGCATTCGGTGTCAGTTATGATTGGTGATTTAGACAGACACTGTAGTACAAATAAAAGTTCTACAGTGGTTTTCATACATTCCTGAAAATTCTCTAATTTTTCTTCGGCAAATGATTACAAGTAATTAGAGCATTTCATTTTATCTGTTTTGGTATAAATCAATATTTATTTGCAAATATCTTACCAGTAAATTTATGAAATGGTTAACAGTAGATTAATGTAGGATTAAGGGGATTTATCTATCAGCCTAATGACTGATGTTAGAACAACTCCGTTATGTGATGACTTTATCGGTTATTTGTATATCTGTTTCTAATTACATCTTCACGTTGAACTTAACTGTCGATTTTGTTGATTGGTTAGCTTTTGGGAATACTTTTAGAATTTTTATTACAGAAATATGGAGTTGTGACTGGTTAATTTAGATGTTTAACATCCAGCAACCGACTATTGTGTTCCAACTTCACCTAACTGGTCGAGGGCTGTATTGTCATTAGTTCCCAGTACACGATAGATGTTGCTTATCGCCAGGTGCATGTAAATGCATCGGGTTGTTGGTTAGCCTCGCAAGTGTTGGTTTGCAAGGATTTTCATTGATTTTAAGTTAGATCAACAACTGACATCAGTTAGAGGATTACTCAAAGTCAGGAAGTACTGAACATCTGCTTCCTCTTCCTAGTGGAGGACCCTTTAGCAGTACACACCCTTGACCCCACGAGAGATCGAACCGAGGACATTCAGGTTGCGAGGATGGAAAGCATTCTCGTCAACCGAAACTTCACAAAATGCAAAGGTATTTAAAATAAAAAAAATATTTGCATGAATTCAGTTTACCGAATTGTTGGTTATTGACGAGAGTGAGCTATGTTCAGCCTCGCAGCAGTAGCATTAACGCTAATTACTAACCCGCATAAAATTGCTATGTTTTTTGTCCATTGCATCAAAATTTATCTGGTTTCTAAGTTGTATTAAATCTGTCACTTCGAATTTTTTTGATAATTTTAATTGCATTTAATCCGATGATGTTATTCCTCATCTTTTATTTTTTGACCTTACTGGGTGTTTAAGTCATTTGAAACACCTGAACAATATATATATATATATATATATATATATATATATATATATGAACACTTAACTTTGTCCATCCAATTTTTTTTGTATTCATTTGTGTAATCTGAGTGGCCTTTGTCTTCGAAATCACATAAGTTAACATAAGGGTCTCTTTTCATAACTCATATGTAAAATGGTAATTGACATCAAAAGTCAGAGGTTACTCTCGGTTAGTGACAAACATAAATCAAAGCGTACCGGAAATGACAATGTGAATAATGAATATTCTTAGATAATTGAGAGAATTGACAACCAATTACTTAAGTAATGAATAGTCATCTACGAAATAATTGATAGGAAAAATATAAACCTCTAAGTAAACTGTACAGTTTTGAAGAGAAGTTACGAAAAGACATCTGTTTGCCGACTTATGTATTCTTAATCCCATCACATGAGAAGTTTTCATACTCTGTCTTCAAGTTGGTATATTTGAATGAGTAGTGCTTTGAAGCTTCTGTAGCGGTTGGATTGATTTTCCGGGGTAGGATTCCTACCCTCCCCCATTACTGTAGCTTTCCTATTTTAACGGGCTTAGCATCAACTAGTTAACTAGTGAACTACATTTCACTCGGAACCCAAAGGAATGATAATATATGGTATAATACAATATCTGAATATTCTTTTTCGGTATATATAATTGAAAGGAACCCTTCGGAATAAAATAGCATCATATTGTTCTGTTCCCTGGAAAAGAATAAAAGATGCACTGGATGCAGAACTCCGCGGCACCGACCAGAACAAACTGGATTCAGGAAAGCTAAATCATTTGCTAATCGATTTGCAACTCTATGCATCATCATGGAACAGAGCATAAAACAGCAATCAAACCTGTACCTTAACTTCATCGACTTCACATAAGCCTTCGACAGTGTTGATTCAGAAGTGATTTGGAAACTACTTCAACACTAGGGTGTACAGTGTCCGAATTCTTATCAACCTCATTCAACCGATGGCTTTATGACAACGCCACGTGTCAGGTGATCTACAACGGAAAACTCAGTGAGGCGTTCGAAGTGAATGCAGGAGTAAGACAAGATGGCTGCCTATTATCATTGTGGTAGACTGGATTATGCGTCAGACTGTGAGGAGCAAGGGGACAGGAATACGTTGGACCACCGTTTTCGCAGATGATTCATGTTTAATTTCACACAGACTCGAAGAATTGCAAGGGAAAACCAACAAACTGGCAGAAGAGGCTGGCAGCGAAGACAGGACTTTAGGAGAATATAGAGAAGACGGAAGTGATGATAACTAACCAACCAACCAACACCAATCACCATCAACCGGAGAGACTAGACAGAGGTTACTTCCTTCATTTATCCGGCCAGGAAGCACGGTTTCAACCACTGGTAGGTGGGACTGGTGAAGATGTCAAAGCCACCCAGAATCGGAAAGGCAAGATACGTCTTCATCAACCTGAAACCAGTTTGGAAATCTTCTGCACTCCGCTTCAGCATAAACAACAAAATTCAGATTTTCAACACAAATGTGAAGTCAGTCAGTTAGTACTTCTATACGGGTCAGAAACTTGGCCTGTGTGTCATGAAAAGGATTTCAAACAGGCCACTGCAGACTTTTGTCAACAGCTGCCTCCTTCGCTGGGTGGCTGGCCAGAAATAATTAGTCACAAGAAACTCTGTCTGGAAACAAACCAACCAAGAGCCTATCGCTCAACAAATATGTAGGAGAAAATGGAGATTGATTGGTCATACATTAAGGAGGCCGTCTAATGAAATAGCGCTTCAGACCTCTCGAGTGGAATCCCAATGGGAAGCGACGATGTGAGAGTAACATAGAGGAGATCGTGCGAGGAGGGGATGAGAGATCATGTTCAATCGTGAACCCAGCTGGAGAGGAGAGCAGAAGATAGAAGATAGTGGAGATGTGTTGTTAAAGCCGTATGTTCCACTCGGAACTCAAAGGAATAATAATTATTATTATTATCTGTTCAGTTTGATGTTCCTACTCTTATCAAGTTCATTGAAAGAAAAAGATAAGTGTATAAAAACTTCCAGATGAATTGATTTATATTTCATTACAATATTGGGAAATGTGGATAATGCCTACACTTGCCTACATTTTTTATTGATTATTTGATCAGATTGAAGTCAATATCTCTACGTGCTTTTCAGTTGTTATCTTTTTTGAAAGAAACTAATATGAAAAACGAAAAACACACTCTTCTATCACTGTTTTAACGTCCTCTTGAAAAACAGTACCGTTTAGAATGTGTTAGTTTGTAAGTGGAATACAATATACAGCATTCTAAATGTATTTAGGTGTGTTGAAAATATTATTGTATGAAATCTGTTGGCAAATTTCTATTCACCGTTATCACGCAAGATTATTTTGCGTAATATGATTACTAAAAAGTGTAAAAACTTCAACTGTGTATTCTTTTACTTCTGTCTTTCTGTGTTATTAGATGATGTGATAACGATAAATTATAAACTGATAATTGTATTCGTTGTTCGTATTTCTGAAATTATCTCATGTTCTCCGATCCTTGGCGTATCATCGTACTTTTCAAGAGTTGATTTATAAGGTTTTGATTTGTTTTCCGAGTTTGACCACAAAGGATTGATATCAGTTAAAGAACCATTGAAATCCAGGGAGTAATGGGCAGCTGTTTCATCCTAGTTTGGGATCTGTCCGCCATACGCACCAACTGGGGTTCGAACCCAAGACCTCCCGGTTACAAGGCAAACTCGTAGACCGTTCAGCCATTGGGACCTGATTCAATGGCCCATGAATTCTAACTTCTACCAATTCGTGATTTTTATCATGACCACCAATCAATGTCATCGGCGGGAAATCCATACATTAAATGGTCCCTGTGTATGTGTGCATTATGTTGTCCTAATTCTGTGAACCGAGTTTGCAATATGATCATCAAGCTAGGTGGTTGACTATCTTGGCGCACTTTGAAATTACGTTAGATGTTTGGTGTTAATCGGTAGGAACGCCTGGACCTAGGTTTTATGCCGACTGGTCGTAGATGTTTCATTGCCGATCATCTATAGTCGTATAAATAATAACAAAGCTTATGTTACAAATCGTTTCAGTTATTTATCTTTTGTTTTTGTTTATGTATTTTTTTTTATTGTAGCCTGATTTTGGTCGTTATGCCAGTTTGTTACATTTGAAACCATGGCATGTTGTAGCTATACCTATTACATTGAATGCAGTAACAGATGTATCCAGTGTCCTTGAAATTGCTGTACAACTGAACGCACTCAACGTTTCTTGGCAATACAATGAAACATACAGAGAAGTAAACAGAGTCTTATTTTTTAAAATTTTTGATGTACTATATTAGTGTTTATCTCCTTTTGTTATACATCATTTCTTGCAAAAACTCTTTTATTAAGTCACTACATGTTTGTTTTTAGAATGGTCAGCTGTTTCACAGAAATACGGAACGACTGATTTCTTTGTTATGAATTGAAGAACACATGTACAACGAAGTATGTGCCGTTGTTAAATTCACTGTTGTTGTTTTTTTATAGTGAGTAGAAAAAATAGGCACTTGTGAAATTCTATGCATTGTCTGACACACCAGTAAACTGTGTATAATTCTCTTCCTCAGCGTTCTGTGTACAATTTGTAAAATTTTTATACGATAGGTTATCTATGGGAAAAACTGACGTTGAGTACATCTGGCGACTGACTGAAGTTGTATTAGTATCCGTCCTAGGGTGATGCTATTCTCACGTTTGTATGAAATATCATTGCTGCCTACCTTATCAAAATAAAACGGCATTCATGAAACTAAGCAATCGTAAGCCAAACCATTAAAACAACTGATCCAGATATATGAATCAAAGTGAAGAGAAACAATGTCAGTCGAGCGGATAGAACAGATTCGTTGGAAATTTCGTTAAAACAGTGGTTGGAATTTTAACCAACTTTCATTCCACTTTGAACATTATAACTAGGATGACATAGAAAACCATTCACTAAAATAGCGTCATCTCGGAAAGTTTATTATTATAATTCCCTTGGGTTCCGAGTTGGAACACGGGGTTTCAACTGCACATTTCCGCTTTGTCCTCTCCCCTGCAGTCGTTCTCAGTCATGATTGCCCACAGGCTTTCATCTCCTCTTCACACCATTTTCTCCAAATCACTTTTGGACTACCAACTTGTCGTTTCCCAGTTGGGTTCCACTCGAGCGAAGGCCTGACGCACGATGTCACCCGATGGTCTCCTCATCGTGTTTCCGAATCATTTCCATTTTATTCGACACATTCCCTAAGTAATAGGTTGTTGATTCTTTTGTTCCCAGAGTTTCTTGTTTCCAATTCTTTCTTGTTATATGATTTTCAATATGGATCGGAGGCAACTATTGATGAATGTCTGTAGCAATCCGCTAGAAATTGCTTTGTGTGACGCGCCAAATCTCTGATCCATATAGAAGGACAGACTTAACACTAGTGTTAAAAATATGAATCTTCTTATTTATGCTGAATGCCCTGAAGGTCTATCTTGCCTTTGCGATCTCGCCTTTAACGATGCCTCCTAAATAAGTGAAGGAAGTTAACTCTTTCAAATTTATTGCATTGAAAATGACCGGTACTTGTTGTTTGTTGCTTATCCTCATCACCTCTGTTTTCTCGATGTTCCCTATTACTTTTCTGCTTGGAAAGTACTTGAAACTAAACGTCTATTAGAGTTTCAGATATCCTCTACTAATTAAAAATCAACCATACCTACACGTCAGTTTTTGAGTAACTTAAGCAGGAAGAGATTTAAAGTACAACTCTTACACTGGACACTAGTAACTATTGTGATGTGTCTAGTCTTTTGTTTAATTCAGACTTAATTCTCTCAGTCAGGTTTGCAATGTGGCCACCACTCTAGGTAGGTCGCCATCAGGGTGCACTTTGATTTGCTGATGTTAGATGTTTGGAGGCGATTGGCAGGAAGGCTTGCTTGACCTAGGTTTCGTGCTAGTTGGCACTCATCAGCAAGGCGTATCTGCAACCTTGAAGGAACTCATATCCCTTCTAAGATTCGAACCTGACTGATTGAATTCAATCTGCACAAAACAAAGGGCTAGACACATCATACTAGTTAATAGTGTCTAATGAAAGTATCCAGTACAGTCCTAGTGAGGAGTCGGTGTAGTCCACCATGGAGGTTGTCAAGCAGATGCTCATCGGTAGCGTTGGTTAGTGGTAATGATGTTATTGCCAAATGACAGAAGCTAAAATCCATGACCGATTGGTTAACTATCTGGCCTTGTAGACTTATAGTCCTGGGTTCGATCCCTAGTGGAGTCATGGGTGTACATTGATGAACAGTCAGTCACAAACCAGGACGGAGAAGCTGTCCAATGCTCTGAGGTTTATATATATATATATACATATATATGATGAGTGACAGTTGTATTCTACAAACTCTTTCCCATTGTAACAAAAATGTATTCTGTAATGTTTGAAAGAATAATAGTAAGAATCATACACTAAATACAATTTCATTGGCTAAATGAAATTAAATGATAACAACAAAATCTAGGGACAACTTAGACTAAAAATTGTTTATTAGATTAATAGACAAATAGTCTGATTAAAGTAATTCCTTTCATAGAATAGCATCAAGCTGCAGTGCGATGAGATGATACACAAAGCTGAAAAGAAAAGAGAAATAGGATGATAGTGTAATGAATAAATCAAAGTGTAAGAAAACACAAATTCATATGAAGACCGATGGAGATTATTCATTATTCAAAGATAAGACGATCTAAAAATTGATTCCGCACATTTCGAGAGGCACGGTTGCGCCACCCTAACACTTCCTTGTATTTTCAAAAGTTAGTTTGTACAGATCATGGATTGATATCAGTTAGAGAACCACTGAAAACTAGAGAGTACTGAAGGCCTGTTTCGTCCTAGTCTGTGACTCTTCATCTGTACGCACCCTCCGGGATTAGGACCCAGCACCTTCAAATTACAAGGCGAACTCGTAGACTATTCAGTCATTGAAACCTGGCCTGATAATGGTCCATAAGTGTCAACTTCTACGTATTTTCGATTTTAGCGCGACCACCAGCCAATATCATCGGTGATTATTTGTCCTCACACACCCCACCTGGTGGACCCCACTGGTGTTATTCAGGGTAACATTTCTAGACTTTACGGATTTGTATCGTGTTTTGATGTGAGTCATGTTATCCTTTTTTCCAGTCTAATTTCACACCAGCATTGTTCGTTTGGTTTGTGTAACGTATGTCTCCGTTACCTCAGCTAATAAACATCCACTATCTTATCGACTAATTTACCTTGGTTGCCTTGACAAAATATCCGAAGTGAATATTGATAGGTTTTTCATGTTTTCTTCTCTCAGTTCCTGTCGTTCATAGCTGTGGAGCAGCGTAGGGTGAACTGTTGAACGATAGGTTGTCTCATATACCGGTGGTACTCTGCTGAAACAAGTTAGCAAATGCCATATAGACCTCCTGTTCGCCTATCAAGTTTTTGTCGGCCATCAATCCTTTAGGTCTTATATTGACTTTCTCAGTAATTGACATATTTCTATACTTCATATCTTCAATAAAAATGATACTTTCAAGACTGCTATTTACAATGCATGCAGAATTCACATAACTTTACTTCATATTGAAGTCTGTATTGATGACGTTATCTAGAAAAACAATGAAAGTTTCTCAGTTTAACAGCTCGGTTCAGAGAATACAACTGTTCCAATATTTTCTTTCTTTTCAACATATAAGTGTTTGAATAATCTTCTGATTCCTTCTTTTATACATTAGATTAAGTCAATGAAATCATCCATGCTACTTAAAGGCTGTTTTTTAGGTAATGGATAACCCTTCGTCTAACCTGCTTTCTGACCTTAATAGTAACTTTTCACTTCAATAATATTGTATGCTTATTCTTTGTCTGATTTCTCCAGTTGTTCACCAATTTGCAAAAAGATAAATAATTTTGCAATCTTGTTTCTTATTATCATCATGTGCCCAATCTTTATTTTCGTCTAAAGCTTCATGTTATTTATTATTTTTGTTTTCATTTCACTAAAGACTTACTGATTCTATGCTGAGGTTATATAAATCGTGTTGTGTTAGGCTGGAATAGTTATCTAGTGAACTAGAATCAGGGCAGATGTATTTCTCTAATGTGCATTTGAATAGCCTAACCCGTATAGTTTTTGCCTTCCACCATCAACTCTGATCTGATTTATTTTGACTAAGTCGAAAATTTGAAGATTTTGTTTTGCCCTAATCAAAACATTTTGTCTATAATCCAAAATTAGAACTAAAAAAAAAATAAAAATCACATTGCATGTATTCACTTCACAGCAGTAAGGTGTAAATAATTAAAAGAACAAAAGCAAAAACAAAAAAGCAAATGATGTTTTCGATAGTGAGTGTCATTTGGCTAACAAAACAATCGTCCCATCCGATACACGACTAATGTCTCAGAATACTGATGGTTTTCAGAAGTTTTTTACCTCACAAACTATTTCACTAATTATTACTATTATTACACTTGTCTAATTATCCTATGGAAGAGGAAGAAAGAGATAAAGATAAACAGCTTTAATTGCAAAAACCGTGAAAAATCTTTTGATTGAACAATGTAGTCACCCTTTTCTTTGTCTTTGTGTACATATAGGCATTAAACGTGTTGATATAAATATATGCGCATTTTAGGCAACCGTAGCGGTTTCTCAATACAACATCTGTAATACACAAATTGCTTCCTATTTTTACTTTTAAGTCTGTTTGGAAATGTCAGTAGTATGTTGAACTAAATTAAAAAATTATTGTTAACTATTATAATTATAAATTATTTAACTTAACCTCAAAAAATATATATACAGTTTACTAATGAAGTAGAAACGGATGAGGGGACTCTAAGATTCCTGGATTGTCTTGCGAAAAGACAAACTAACGAGAAACTAAAATTCACAATATACAGGAAACCGAAAGATATTTGAATTTCCAGTCAGATCATCCAATAAAAATGAAAGTTTCAGTAGCTTTAAATCTCGTTAACGACGCTAGAAACTTTACAGCAGATAATGAGGATTTGGAAAATGAGATATCCAATATAAAAGAAATTCTAATTGGAAATGGTTATCCGAAAAAGCTACTAAATAATATTATTACTTGCTTCATATAATTTTAAAGTCTGTTTCAAGCCCTCTAATTCTCTAGAGAAAGCTTTGGTGAATGTCAAAGATATGGTTCCCCAAATGTCACAAAACAATTGTGTCTATAGGATAAAATGTTCAGAATGTGAAGCTTACTTACTTACTACATAGGGGAGAGCAGTAGACAGGTGAAGGTCAGAGTGAATGAACATAAACTGTGCAGGAAACGTTCACCTAGAAATGAAGTAGAATTAAAAAGTCTAGAGAAAAGATCAGCTATAGCAATGCATGCGATAGACAGTGGACATAAGATTGATTTCGACAATGTCGAAATTCTTGGAAGAGGCTTACCTTCACATAAAGAAAGGTTGACCTTTGAATACTTGCACATTTTAACCACATCGAATGAAGTAAATAGGAGAGATGGGATAGACTCTTCACCTATATGGCAAACTTTAATGAAGCAAGAGAGATGAAAAAACAATAAGAACCTCTGTTTTCTATAGTTGCTTTGTAAGGGTTAGTTTTGTTTTTGGGAGTTGATCACGGATTGATAACAGTTAGAGAACCATTGAAAACCAGGGTGTACTGGACAGCTGTTTCATCCTATGACCTTTATAAAAAAGTATTATCATGTTTATCACGTGTGAATTGACGTCTTTTTCATATGACAAATAATATACACTCACATACAATCATACAGACAAATATGCACAAATTGACATTAGATATTACAAATATATGATGACTGCTTGCATTTTTCCATTGGTACAAATGACCTTCAAATGAACTGACTTCAATTTATGTAAAATATTTCTGACTGTATATTTTGATGATTAATAAAATCGGAATAATTCTGCTGAAGAAGCTGGGGCTTACACAACGAAAAGTTCAGAAAAATCTTGTTTCGATTTTTTCTTAAACACTCTGGAATTATTTTAAATAACTTATAATGATTCAATCTGCATCGCTGCTCAAATTATTCCAGGAAATTCGTAACAACTACGGTCTGGAAACTTATAACTATTATAATTGTTTCTTTAGAAAATTGTCATCCCACATCGATTATTTAAAGTAATTAACTCGATGATTAGATGTGTTTTTTTCTCGACTTTACTGGTGTACACAAATCTGTCCTAATGTTTTCAGTGCAAACAATGTGGCTTTATGAATATCACGACATTGCTAAGCTCAATCGTTATATATTTTACTTCCTGGTGTTTAATTTCTGTAGGACCATAGTACTTAATCTCCGCTGACATATCGCCTAGTAGTACGTGCAATCCGACGATGCCTTAAGGTTAACATCATCTTATTTGATTGATGGTAACTATCACCTGAATTCACAGTGCGCGTTTCGCCCTGTCTTGGGACTCATCATCTGAACATCGTTGGATCGTTCGTACTATGCGCAGACATGTCAATGAAGTATGAGCATTTCGGTGCAAAAGAAATCTAACAACAGAAAACACGAATTACAACTGATACCCGTCTCACAAGAGGTGGCTGTCGTGGCCCAGTAGTTTAGTGGATAAAGCCTTCGCATTTGAAGCGACTGGTGATAAGTGAGAGTCTTAGTGCAACTACCGTCATTCGCTGGGGATGCTCACGCATTCACTTGATGGAACAGTTGTTTCGAATTCCTCCATCAACCAACTAATGATCATAGTGTAAATAGTTATGTCAACTCTGTTTCACAGAGTACAACATTGTCGACTTCTGACAGTTTAAAATGCTGGTTCTTACTCAACGAAATTTCCAACTATATTAGTGAAAATTTCATTTTGCGTATAATTGTTCTTTTTAAAACACATTATTATCTCTCTGTCACGCACAGACGCAAAGCGATGCTTTTTCCTAGTTTTACGACAATAATATAAATACAAGTTGGAGAAAATTTTTTTAAAAAATAATTACGTCCAATCTACATAAAATATGCTTATAAGCGCGTAATTAAATGCTAAGATGAGTTTAAAGAATAGTAAAAATTCATGGGTTATTTGGAATGTTGACTGCCTTGTAGCTGAGAAGTTCAAGCATCTGATTGATGTAAACTACTATAGTAACAGTAGTGGATTTTGATACAGCTAACTGGAAAAAAAATTGATTATGATACGCAAATAGTTAGAAAATGTAAAAAGTTACTGTTGATATAGAAAGCTTTGATGTAGTTACCGATGTTTATTCAATATGGTAAACGATGTGTAATATAAGTACACATGTGGTGAGTGCTACTTATAATCCGATATAAGTAGTATATCAGAAACGAAGTAACAATATGTTTGGCACACTGGAAAGAGCAATCAAAGAAGAGAACCATGAGAAGAATGTTGCCGTATGATGCAGAATCCAAGAAGCTATCGAATGAGACGATATTTGACCAATTCGTCAAGGATGTGGTAAATGATGTGCAAATGGCCGGTTGAGAATATGGTATACCGAATTTAGCTATGTACCATACGTTTCACCAAATAAACATTCCTTTCAGCCTCCTCAGTCTTATCTTCTTTACACACATATGTGTAATTTGGTTGTAGTTAACAGTGCGATTGGGGATGCTGGTTTCGTCCTAAAAGGAACTCGCCAACTGGATGACTTGTATCCAATACCCATCGTCTCAGTCACCAATGTTTTATTTAATAAGTCAGTGAATCGCTCGGGATGCAAGTACACTCAGCCGATGAGTTCCAAATAGTTCGAAACGCACCCCCTGAATGTAATTGCTAGTCATCAGCAATCAGATAACGTGATGTCAACCTTGATTAGTCGCTGAAAAAGGCTTACTAGGCACCGAAACGTCGACGGAGACCGAGCATTTTGACCAAATACAAATCAGTTAACAGGAAATTCATAACAGCTAGGGATGGCACAGTGGTTAGGACTCTCGCCGACCATGCACATGGTCCGGGGTTCGATCCCCTGCCGACGCACACCCGATATCTATGGTCGGCCTGCAAAATTTGGGCTACCGATATCCATGCTGAAAATTCCACGCTTGTACTGAAAATACGGTGTGGCATCAAGCTGTAAATATATAGAAAAAAAATTAATCAATTATTCTTTTTTGAAGTGCACAATGAGGTTGTTTTCCTTAGATAAAATTTTTAGTTCGAATTCATGACTGGAAACTTCGTTCTCTATAATTCGACTCGACAAATATCTAGTAGCATCTTTGGAACAAAGCTGCATGTATTTTTTAGACATTAGGATCATGATGTGCTGTGAAAGAATATTATTTCATTTCAAATTTTGAGTTTCTCGGGTTATAACTGATTCAGAGTTAGATTTCACCATGAAACGACACCAGTTAAGAAACTGTTGAAAACCAAGTAGCATTGAACAGATGGTTTATACTAGTTTGAAGCCATTCAGCAGGACGCATATACCAGCAATAGGACCCATTACTTTCAGATTACTAGATAAGCACCCTGCCATTCAGCGACTTGCTCGGATTCCAACGACCCATTAATTCTAACTTCTGTCAATTAGCGTCAATACCTTCTAATGTTATCAGTAAGTGTTCACCTTCACACCTGACTTAGCTGATCCCAGTCGTTACAACTCCTCATTACACACACTTTGAATCCGTTCATCTTATCGTCATTCAGTAGTAAGCACTACGTTGATCTCCACGTTTTCGGTTTGCAGAAAGGGTCTCAAACTAGAAAGAAACAGTTCATTGATTTTCAGTGGTTCTCTAACTGATGTTGGCTCGTGGTGAAATATGTTTCGAAATTGTAAATCATTGGTGCATTAAAATAGTAGGTAATTTTCAAAGGTTAAATGATTAACAAAAAGTAAAGACCTAAAATAAACTATGAACCCTTTAAGGTAGGAACAACTTGAAAATGGATAAATCCAATTCTTAAAAATATTTAAGTCTATCTCAAAAAATAAATGAATATAAGGATGATCGGAAGTATATTTTGTTGTGGGGTATAGTATTATAGGAGGATCACAGTGACTGGGGTTTCTTTTTATGCACTATGATATGTAATGTTACTGCAGTTGAATGACATAATCCTCAATAAATTTCCCAAATCATTGCTTTCTTTTAATTAATTGTTTATATTGTAACAATCTGTTAATTCCTCCAAGTTACCAAATACACCGACTTTTCAGTTTTGTTTGTTGTCTGCTTGGCTAATCCTTTATGGATGTGCTGTAAGTCTGAAAATCCGAAATAATCTCCCATGTGACATCATAAAGAATTTAAATTTCCCTAATTTATAGCAGTTTATTTGTTGTAAAGAGGTTTGGGGAAAAAGGGTAGGTCATGCTCTTCTTTGTTATTTGTGACTTGGAGTATTTCAAAGTTGTTTTTTTTTATACTTCAAATGAATTCTTTATCAATAAATAATGGTTTATTTGCTTTCGTTTATTCAGCCTTTACCACGTCAAATCATACTGCATGGATGTTTTGCTCAGCATCTGACAAATACACCGAAAGGCTTCACAGATCCGCGTCAGTGTCCCTTATGGATTCGTTTAGCTACAGACCATGGATTAGCAGTGTCTGTAGCACACGCTACATCTTCAGCTGTTTTTCAAGCGTTCGCCTCTAGTCAGTCACCGCGTCGAAGTGAACGACCACCGAATTTCGATACATCATTTAGAGAAGATGTAGACAGAAGCTTTTTTTACTTTCCTTATCCATCGCCTGGACTTTGGTACCTCAGCTTATATCCTGAGTGTTATACAGCATATGAGTAAGCATTTTCTTTTCTTTTTCGTTTTTAAAACCATACTGTATTGATGCAGACATTTTCAGTATGCCTATTTAGGCGTAGAACATAAATAAATAGACTGAATTCTATGCAACAGCTTAGTTTATTCACAAAGTAACCTGTTACTGTTTGGCATGTATACATTTTGAAAGGTGATTTTAGTTTCTTAGCTGAATAACTAAAGTAAGGTTGAGTATTGTGTTGTAGAGATGTGGCACATTGGATTAAGCATTTGGCTTTCAGTCAACAGATTCCCGGTTTTAATACTCTTCCGGCTTCTTAAATTAGGTCAACTGAGTAATGATATCAACAGTAAGTGTAGCTCATAATCTGCTAAGTGAGAACAATCTTTCCTCTGTGTATCTGTGTTCAAGTTAACTGTTGGATTATCTTAAGTACCATTAGGACTACAATCATTCAAAATGTATAATATTTCATTCTGTATTTTTTTTGTAAACAGTCTTCAATTATAGGAAATATTATGAAGCTGTTAGCCACAATATTCTAAAAAACTGGTTGCAAATTTCACTTAGCTAAATTGAAGTGGTCAAGAAAATATTAATATCTGTCTAATGTACAATCTTCCACAACGTTAAGTTGTGTGTTTTATATTTATCTCGCCCAGTTGGCTGAATGATCAATGAGCCTGGGCTGGTGACCTGAAGGTGCCGGGTTCCATCCCTATTGGGGTTGTAGGTGCGCACTGCTTATGTGAGTCAGTGGTTTATGGACAGAATGCTTACCTTCTACACGTGTGGTTCGGACTTCGATCCTCGGCTGACACACTCCTAACACCTTGCCTAATTCACTAGTCGGTAGTAATTCTGGAAAAGAGGGAAGGCTGGACATGAGGCTAACAACCGCAATACAATACAACAGCTACTAAAAATTCAAGGCTTCAAGCCTGGATGCCTATCTTTCTTTGATCTAGAGTTGGTATATCGTCACTATGTGGTGTACCTAACAAACAAGGTAACACGAAATAACCATATTACTGAAGTTCTACACTTAAATTAATAAAGCTGTAACCCCCATCGCTTCTTTAAAAGACTTACTTTTCAACCACACAAGAGGTTCAGGTTCGATTTCCCGCCAATGCACTGCTAAACCTCGCTTAGCTCGTAGTAAATCAGGAAAAGAGGAAAGATTAGGTGTGTGTGTGTGTGGCTAGCAGCAACAACACCGCTACTGAAAATTCAAAGCTTAAAGCTAGAAGCTGGATGTTCCACTGAAACGTAAAGGAAAAATAAAACAAAGTAGATTTGTATTACTAGTGAGAAGATGGATTCCTCAATTTTCAAAATATTTAAATATTTGTTTCTTAAATACAATCTTGTCTGTCTGTGTGATGTGATTTACAGAGGCATTGAAATTTGAAAAATAAAAAAACAACAACACTAAGCTCCACTTTTCTCGCATTCGTGATACTGTTGATCAGTACAAATTCACGCAACGAGCTGATTCTTTTTCGTGATGAAATTCAGTCAAAATCTAGTTCCTGGTTGAGACTAATTTTAGAATTATATGTTTACTGTCGGTGTGTATTTTCTATTTTCTGTAATCGTCTATTTTATCCCACATAGCTTCACTTGTATCTTCTCTATTATTTCCCTTTTGTTCAACTTTTCGACATATCCGTGTTTGTCTACTGTACATTTGCGTGTTAATAACTTTTCTTAATCAAGCTTTTTTTTTATCAAGATGTGTAGACATTCATTTAATTAATTACAGTGATCATCTTGTCTGTGTTTATGTATGTATGTGTATGTGTATGTGTGGTGATGTGTGGACATGAGTTAGAATGAACACTGAATATAAATTTACCGTCAAATATTTTCTTTCTGTGTTGCTTTTCGAAAGAAAACAGTTCCCTCTAAATATGTACTCTTCTTCCATTATAATTCCCATTATATTTGTCTGACTTTTTCCTGTCGTGTTATCTTTATGTCGTTTACTGAATTTGACTAATTTCATTCGCAATTAACAAATTCAACCCACATACAACACGACGCACAAACGCCCACTATCTTTGTATTTATTATGTAATTATTTCTGTTGTTGGATATTGCCTCTTCATTACTTCAAATATTCACCTCAGAGCTGTAAAGCTTATGTGATTAATCATTCTGCAAATTAGACAATACGACGTGAAATTTCATCAGTGTTTCCTCAATTGTTTCAGATCGATTTTCTGATATCACTAACGATAGTTTATGTGTTGTTTTGGTTTCAATCCCATTTATTAAAGATCTTCATAGTCTCATACAGTGTTGATTAAACAAAGTATAAAGTGAAACAGTCGAAGTTCAAGAAATGGCGAATGCATCAATGATCTTGAAACGACCTATCGATTTCAAAAGGCAATTTCAGGTCGCTCGCTCAACCCTAGTCTATCCCTTACTTAACCTGAACCCTCATCTTTCTCTAAACCTACCTTAATCTAACCCTAAATACCTCTAATTTCCCTGTAACTTAGCCTCAGTCTACTCCTTACCTATTCTTACCTTAACCTTAGTCCCAGTCTACCCCTAACTTAATCTGCTTGATATTCTCACACATTTTCCATTTCTTCGTCTGGTTTCACTAACTTGTTCTGCATGTGCGTCTCAAGTTCACTGGTGCGTTTGCACTCCTGGATCACTATTTTTTTCAACTTGACCGTGAAGCGAATGTTCTCGACACTAATTTTTTCTACCGGTTTCAAAAATATGCATATTAAAGTTATTGACTTTTTGTGGAACCACTTCCGTAGTTTCATTTATACCAAGAGAGAACAAATATACTTGCAGGATAAAAAGAGCCTATGTTCTTCTATTTCACGGTTTTTCGTCAACTGTTAACAGCTAAAAAGACGCATATAAGTTGTGTATTCAGTGACACATGAATTCTAACTTCGGTTAATTCACAATTTTACCGTGGCTGCTGGTCAGTGTCGTCGGTGAGTATTTTTCCTCATACCCGGCCTGTTGTATCCCACTGGTCACTGCTTCTCAGAGAACCCCAGACAACTTTGTCTTGTAGTCGATTAGAATTATTTTAAAACTAGGACAAAACAGCTGTCCAGTACTGTTTGGTCTACAATAGCCCTCCACCTGATATCAATCTGTAATCAGACTTGAGACAAATCAAAGTCCTACAAAATAACTCGAGAAAATAAATCGCGAAATCAACAACAGAAAAACACGAGCTGTTTTTATCCCGCAAATATGCTCGTTCCTGCTTTGTTTATTGACATCTGTGAAGCTCCTGCGATGAAAAAAACGAACATATTTCTATTAAGGTAAAACAGTGGTTACAGTCCATTCATTAGTAATTGCTAGTTAATTTGACAATGCCTTACTGTTGTCCAATCTTTTCTATCTTTTATACATGCATCTGATAGGGCTTTTTGTGGATTCGATCAGTCAGCGGTTATTGATGTCTCACTTATTATACGTTCAACTCCATGTATAAATAATCGTTGTCGACAAATCGGTGAAGGTGCTTCTCTTGCACCATCTCGTCTTCTGTATCCAAATAACTTTAAAGTAAGTCCTAATTATAGTATTATTTTCCAGTTGATTCTGTGTGGAATTTTTTTTCTGAAAATGTGATTTTTATCCAGTTTCAACTTATGCATTTGTGTACACTATCTGCAGCTTTTTCTTTTATAATTAATTATTCTTCACTTTACACTAAAACTAAACATGAGTACTGTTGTACTATATATATGGTCATTAAGTTGGGTGAAACGATAATTCTGGATACTATGGAGCAGATTTTATACCGGTTTTATATGCAAACAAATAATCAACAGTAAATTCGGTCTCTAAAATGTTGTCTGTCTATCTGTTTTCGACATGGAACTTTGCACATATGTGTGCGGCAGTTCAAGTCGCCACACTCCATGTAGCACACAAAGCAAGAGGAGAAATGCATAATGTAGACAGTAAACAGAGGTGTGAGACAAATGTATAGTAATAACGAAGAACAAAACAGTTTCATTGGAAATCATAAGTCACAAGGAGTGGATGCATCTGCGCCAGCCATTGAGAACGATTTTGAGCCATGTCACCAATTGTTTCCAACCATTGGATTTTACCGTCCCGAGGACCCCAACCAGTCAGGAAGTCTACACCTTCCTACGTAGCTTAGACTAACTGTTGTGGATTTCATTGATTGGTGCCATGTTTTGGTTTGACCGCCGCTAGCTCTTTTCCAGCCTGATCCTATATCAGCTAACATTGCCCGTCGAGGGAGGTGATGACTAGGCGTACGTAACACATGTCCTAACCATCTCAGTCGATGTAATTTCACAGCCTCATCGATTGATTTCCCCTCCTTACCAACTAGCACTCGACGCTTAACCTCAATATTGTTCACCTTATTATGCCACTTTACACGGGAGATAGAACGCAGGCACCTATGATCAAAGACAGCTAATCTTTTCATGTCTTCCACTCTCAATGGCCAGGTCTCACAGCCATAAGGGAGGACGGAGCGGACTGATGAGCAGTACACACGCCCTTCGGTCTATAGTCGGATGTCACGTCTACGCCAGAGACGGCGTAAACTGGCATATGCGAAACTAGCCCTCTGTATTCGTGCTGAGATTTCGTCGGGGATCAACCCGTCGGCAGTGATTGATGGTACTTCCCAAGCAAGTGAAGCGGTCAATGTGCTCTAAAATGTTGGTACTCGTCAGTCAGCAGGGTGTATTTTCAACTTTGAAGAAACATTTAATATAGAGGTCAAAAAGAATTTTAGCACTGAACTATGCATAATTTCACGCGTTTGTTGAAAATGTATTTCGATAATGATTTTCTAAGTTTGTGATGAGTTAACTGATTTCATACTAAACATAATAATAATAATAGCTTTATTCCAAACAGTACTTTTGGAACAAATATAAAATTAAATTAAGTGATAATATTAACGACAATGTAGCACTGAAAAAGAAGAAAAGTGGGGCGTTTACTTAGAGTTCCGCAGTAAGTTGGTAATCTCTCCTACCTTACACTTTTCTCATCACGTAAAATGTGTGCCTGCCGAATAAGGTATTGTAGAGTTTTTATACTTAGTCGTCCCAGCATACAGTCTTCTGCAGTTGCTTCTAATTCTACCCGATTAGATGCAAGGAAAGAGTTATGTATAATAAGGGTGCTCAGATTATGACAAGATAATATTTACTAATCTTCTTGCTGAAGTCCATGTGTCGGTTCAGTAACACTCCACTCACGCTACTGACGGCTTTTAGTACCCTTTGCAGTATAGCAGTCTTTCTTGAATAGCCCGGGAAAGATTAACGGTGAGGGGCAGTAAATAAGTATAGGCAGAATACAAGAATTAACAAACTGTAACAGTAGAGACGGAAAGATACCAGATCGTCGGAACCTCCTTAAGTAGAACGTCACACGAAATATTTTTCTGGAAACTGACAATGAATAGCGAATGAATCACAGAAAAGTAAGGAGTCATATATATATATATATATTATCCTAGAATGAGATATTTTGAAGGTGAAACTCGATCCAGTTTCTCAAATTTAAGATGATCGCTTTGAAAAAAATGTGGTGGCTTTTTGTCCATTTCGTGGTCTTAAGTTCGCCTCACTAAAGAACCTTCAATTAAAACGGAAAAGAACTCTAGACAGCCGTTTCGTTCACGTTTGAGAATCTTTATCAATGCAATACGACAACCGCATCAGAAATAGAACACAAGATCTTCATTTTGTGAGACTAAGTGCACTGGTGATGACTCCTACATTAGGCCAAAACAGTTGCCTAGTACCCTATAGTTCTCAATAGTGCTTTAACTGATATCGACTCGTGAAAAAATCTCCACTGGAATGATTGAAATCTCCACAAACTTTAAAAATCAAAGGCGAAACAGTTGCCCAATTTTTTGTCATGAGAATCTTGGAAAATCAGTGTTTTCAACGTGTATACACGTGAATATGTTTTCTTCTTCAAACTGATTTCTACTAGATTGTGACTTTTTGAGAGAAAGAAAAGTATCAGAACAGTTTCTGTTAAATCGATTTTTTTCTGGTTTTTAGCCTTGCTGTGTATTTGAAGTTTGCTCAGTTGTTCTGTCACACTGTCTATCTTCTGCATTGCATAGATAATTGTAGTTAAAATAATCCTGAGGGTATTCAGCATAATTTCATTTTTAAAACTGAATAGATAAACAGGATGTTCAGTAGAAAAGTAAACGTTTTCTTTTTCTCTTGATAAAATCTTATAAAAATAATAATAATTCAAGTAGAATAGCTCATACAAGAGAAATTTCAGGCTAATAAGTTATTACTTTCTCATTTATACAAGAATTTACCACAAATACTCCACATTACAAAAGGCAAGTAAAACATTTATTTCAGGGAGTTAATGAGAAAGTTCTTTTTATCTCATATCTCACATATGTCATGGTATACTGCTGACTAATTGCTTCTTCTTTGTTGTTGTTTTTTCTGTATTTGTTTTGATGGTTAACTTTCCTTTTTATTTTATATCAGGAAAATATTTCCACTGCTAGAGATATTAATCAACGTTGGCGTCCACCATGGTGGTCAAATAGCGATTATAACAATGACAATATTGACGCTTTACTTGATAAAGACAAGATAACCGCTTCCAGCTATGACAGTCCATTTAAACCAATACCGATTAGAAAACGAATGCATAAAATACCAGGTGAAGGGATATGCATAAATCTTTTTCAACGATCAATTCATGTATCTACATGTGCATGTCCTATTGGTTATGCTGGTTTAGGCTGTATGCCATTACCGGTTCAATATTTTCATACATTTGGTCTTAATCCACAAAGGCAAATATTATCATATGATGCTATTCTATTATCTTTATCAAATTTTGGTTTTATCCCAGCAATTCTCTTATCAGTTATTCATCGTTTATGGATACCAGCATTAGTTTATGGGTATACTTTTCTATTTTCTACAGTAAGTCCACTTTGTTTTCCTCCTCTTTTATTTTCGTTTTGATTTATTATGTGATAATTGCAAGCTGAAGGTGTAGCTCATCGTCTAAAGCACTCAGATTTCAGTCAGTTAGTTATGACTTCGAGTACCGCTCCACCTAACTCAATCTGGATAACCGGTTGGTATTATCAGTGTGGTTTTTAGCCTGATACATTAGGGATTTGTTCTGACCGATTTATTTTCGATAAACCGATGATTCTAAGTGATATTTGATTTGATTGTAACAGAGTGTGCACCAGCGGTCTCTGGAATGAGAGCTCTTTGCTTTAGTAACTGAGTTGTGAAACCTGTTTGTGGAACAGACTTCCAGGAGGGTTGTTATTTATTATCACCATTATGATTGTCACTGTTGTTGGTGTACTCTTTCAAACTAGAATTATTGTTAGATTTTTGGAGGCAGAGATACGCATTGTGAACGGATTTCGATAATTTTCAAGAGTTTGATTGTAGGAATTTGGTTTTTTTCAAGTTTGATCACGGATTGATATAAGTTAAAGAACCATTGAAAATCAAAGAGTACTGGACAGCTGTTTTTTCCTAGTTTGGGACTCGTCGGCTGTACGCGCCCACTGGGTTTCAAACTCAGGACCTTCCGACTACAAGGCAAGCTTGGAGACCATTCAGCCTCTGGGACCCATGAAATATAACTTCTACCAATTCGTGATTTTAGCGCAACCACCAGCCAATGTCATTGTCGAGTATTTGCCGTCACTCCCGACTGGGTGGACCCCATTGTGCACAACTTCTCACCAGAACTTCAGGCAATTTCGCGCTGTGACCAGTCACTCGTCAGCATCAGATTAATTTTCAATACCAATAAGCAGGAAATTCAGGTCCTAGGCTTCCTGTCAATCACCTTCAGCCATTCAATAATACTTCAGTGTGTCCACTGCAATGGCACTTTGGTGACCGGACTGAAAAGTTGGCTGATCGAATTCAGTCAATACCAACACTAAGGACTAGCCGAATGATATTGTTGTTACACTCCAGTGAGAAAAAATAGATGAGTTCTAACTGCATTTTTAGTTTTGTTTTAGGAAAGAAAAAAAACCCAGCTAAAAACCAGACAGCTCAATTTAATTTATTATTTTGTAGTAAAAGTAGTCTGAGACGAGAAAAGTAAACTGCGTAATTTGCTAATTAAATGTAAAAAAATGGGGAAAAAAAGCCAGCTCTATGACTAAGGAAATTGAAAGGCATATGTATATATATATAAATGTATATATCAAATCGTATTTTATTAGTTTTATCACTAAGAATTCTGTTTGCAAATTCAAGCTTATATTATCTGCTGCCATTTTGATTTACCATTATGTGAACAGTTGAATGTCTAAATGTCCTAAATGGAACATAATGCTTGATTGGGAGCCGGTTGCTAGGCTTACGCCTAGCCTTCCCTGTTTTCCGGGATTACTATAGGTTAGTAATCTAGGCAAGGTTTAGGTAAGCATCGGCCAAGAATTCAACCTGGACCACTCATGTGGCGGGTGACCATTGTACAATGCAACCACCGACTCTAAAAGTTGAATAGTACATGAGAATCATTACCTAATATAGTGGTGATTAGGTTCACTGGTTTGAGCGTTCGACTTTTAGCTGATTGGTTCTGGGCTCGAATGACATCGCCATACACTTCAGCCTAGGTAACTGGGTTGTATCATCAACTCTCTGTCTGTCACATGCTCAGTACGTGTGCAGGATAAATATGTTCTGGACTGCTAAATGAATAGCTATGTAACAAAATGGACTTTTTCAGCTCTTGATTGCATGAATTTTACTAAAAATGTTTTTTGGTACATTTTTGATATTTTGTATAGTGTGAATATTTTGTTTCTCTATGTAGGTGACATGTATGTTGGTAAGCATAAGCGCGCTTTGACAAACTGAAATAATTCCTAAAGTCAAAATAAGTCCAATAGTACATGAGTGATATAATTTAAGTTAGTTTTTGTACAGTAATATTATTTGAATACGGTTAAAAGCAACACTATTGTAGGTGGGTCATCAACACTGGAGCCTTCGTTTACTGTGTGTTATGTTTGAGCTTCACATTTGAAGTGAATGCCACAAAAATATGACACCAATCTATTGAGTTATTAATTGTTGATCTCAGCCACGTTGGCTTCAAATAGGTTGCCAGGGTGGTTTACTATAAGTGAATAGCTAAACACGTTTAATGATATGACTGAAATTCCTTCGCAATCAGGAAGATGCATTCACTACTTTTTATCTTCCTAATTCTCCATATTTCCAGCAATCTTTTTTTACGCATATATATTTATAGTATTATCATTACTGTCATGTTCTATTTTATTCATGACCCCAGACTAACGAACGATGATCAAGTTAGTAAACTTCGTTTTGATACCATAACAGATGTACTATTACCTTTGTTATTTGGTTTAGTGATCTTCATTGGTATTTTAACTTTCAATATGTCCTTTTAATTTGACCTAAGTCTATTTTCTCACCCCTTAACTCTTTGTTATATATATGCTGAGATTTTGTAAATTCCGGTATAATAATACTTTGATAAAGCTATTAGCATTAAATAGCGAAACGTCAGTAAAAACAATATCGTTTTGTTTTTCATTCATTGGGAAATACAAAAACCTTTATTATAATGAGTGTCAACTCCGTTTATTTCATCATTGTGCAAAGTTTTACATTAATTCGTCAGTGAGTCACACTGATATTACAGTTAAACTATGATAGTATTTATAGTATATCTAATAATTCTGTATTACTAACCCTGACTTAATCTTAGTGGTCTTTTATAAGTTGTTCATCGAGGCTTTAAATCACACCAGGTGTATAATACATAGATGAATCCACTGAGACTCATTTGTAGTGAATTGTTTAACTCACCGATCAGCACTTCTAATCGTACACTAAGAAGAAAAAGAAATACGTCCAGCCGTTGTCCCTACCGTGGCCATTATGAAAAGTCAGTCCCGAAAATAATGATTATCCAATTACTTTCTTGTCAAACCTTCCTGTTTATTTCTGTTTTATTTACGTTTTAATTCCTATCTGCATTAATAGATTTGGTTACTGTTTTTTAATTTTTATATGTCCGAATCTCCTACCTATTTTGTTAATACTACGTCCTTAATCCGTAATTATACAAACTGATCAGTTTTCCAGTAATTATAATCTTATTATGTCTTTTCTACCCAGTCTTCTGTTTATTACACTGAGTAATTTTATTAGTTTAACCTTTGACTGGAAATAGTTCTGGAACTTTCTCGCTGCAACCGTCTTTTTAACAACATTTTTAACTTTATGCAGTTCCAAGCTAATAGATATCATTATTAAACTTGCCTTAATTCAGTATCAATCTTTCACATAACTGATTCCCATTTTTTGTTTCCAACGTTTTACTTCTGTACTCTGGCTCGCGACAAGACTTGGACCAGCGGTTACCAAATTACTAATTTAGCGGTCTATAGGACATGACTACTAATCAAGTCACCATTTCACCACAGTCAGTCAAACTTAATGTCTGGCTGTCATGTTATTATTGTCATTATTAAAACACAAACTTGCTACATTATGGGCATTGGGATACTACCCGCACGCCCAGACCGAAGCAGGTGGTTGTCTTAATGAGCCAACCCTGGAACCTTTGACTTGAAGTCTGGTCCACAAGTCAGTGAAGCAGCGTCAGGAGCTGTGTTCCCATAGTTGCTGATCACCGAAACACGTTAGTACGCCATTCGATCCTTTGGGATTCTGCAACCCAGGGTTTTCCAGTCCCCCTAGGTAGAGCAGTATGTCCACCGGTCCGTTTGTAAGCACTAAACGTTTGCACTTTCATTTTTGAGAGGAACACTCTGGCCGCGTGAAGGCTGTGAATAGGACTTACCTGGAAGAGTCTAATAACGCGTTGGGCCATGTGACAGCATCTCGAGAGGAAGACTAAAGTCCACCTGCCCTCTGCTGTGCCAGGCCATTTATGGGGGCAAATGAATGTACAATGCATTGCTGTGTTCATCATCACAGTAACTACGAGACTAGGTCTTCTCTTATTAATGCTAATCACACTGAATTAGAAGGGGAGCAGATTTTCACTTCATCTTCAATCATTGCTCATCATAACATCAGTATTAGTCTTTCAATCCAAAGAGTACTTCGGGAGGTTTCACCGTCTATTGAATAGACCACACAATGAAACAGGTTTATACACTGGATACAACCTTTTCTTTTATGGGTTTCTTTAGATTTCTTGATTCTAGGTGTTTTGTTTTTACTCCGTGAATACTACTAATTTGGCCCTATTAGTTACAGTTAATTGAGAAAACTAGTGCAACAACTAAAGGGTATTTGTTAACATTAAAACAAAATGTTAAACACTGCATAACTAACAGGTTGAAAAGTAAGGAGAATAAATTAAGGTCAATTACATAAGAACAGTTGAGAGTGACGTAGCCAAATTAACAGGGTAGTCATATTAAATAACAGTACTAATAATGATGATAACTTCTAAATAGGGTAGGGGGAGGGAGATGTAATCAAATTTTACATTCATATGAAATTGCCAAGGTAGAAAGAAGCGGTTGTGCAAATTCATTTCAAACACACATTCAGCCTCTTCAATTGGATTCCGATAGTTCCTGTTCTTCAATTGTAGCAATGATTCTCTTCGTTAATCATCTGCCCGGTTGTAATGGTTGAAGACGAAAGACTTGGTAACGGAATGTTAATTAGGAAATTGGCATCTCTATCTAGCCAAATTATGTATACAACATAATCAACGCACAATTTGCACAGAGCTTCGTGTTGTGGTACTTCTGAACTTCATATTGTGTTTCTTTGTGCTCCTTTCACGTCTCCCATGTATCTCCACACTGCTGTATCATGTGCCTTCGCTGAAGTCAAATGTATCTCCCTGCTATTTGATGTTTTTACGCCAATGAACGTCTCTTTACATACTACTGGTAAATCTTATCAGTAGCACT